CAGTTCCACTGTAGCCAAGAGATCCAAAGCAGGAAAAAAAATGTTAACCAAAGTTGATGGTCCTTATATGTGTCCAAAGAAATTATTTGCAGATAGATATTCACAATTCTGGCATCGTGCCTCTGCCCATAGTATTTGTCCAAATACGAAAAAATAGTAAATACAAAAATGTACTTAAATGTAGTCTTGTGTTTATAAATTTTCAGCTGAACTTTGGCAGTAAGCCCTAAATGTGATAAAAGACTCTGCACCAATATATTTTGCTTTTCTCTTTTTTTTTTTTTTTTTCATTTCTTTGTCTCTATAGACAAAGCTGACAACATAACACAGATCTTGAGATATGGCTGATGCATTTTTCTAAGCTAAAGTATGTTTTTAGCTCTTATGCTTATGATTGCAGCAGAATCCCAACCTCCTTCCACAAAGTATTTGTGGGAAGAGAAGTTGCCGCTGAGCGTTGTCTTGGACTTTGGATCTTCCTTTGAGTCTTCCTTTGGATCCTTCAACAGCTAGATTCAGCCAGTGCCTTGTATGTAACATCAAGTTGGAAAGTCTTGCTGTCCCCATTTTACAGATGGACTCTTGAGAGACAGGAGGAATAAAGCCAAATGCTTCAAAGATACTTAGTGGAGGTTAAGTGCTGAGTTTCCTTTGAAGGTCTAAACCCAAATGACGTGCTTGTGATCATGCAAGAGATTTGTATCACCCATGGGAACAGAACCATTTTTTCAGGGTAGTGTCATAACCACTCCACAATCCTTCCTCTTTCTTCTTCCTAAAGCTCCCGCTGACTTCAAAGGTGAAGAATTATGGCCTGCATCCCACAGCACTGTGAGCTCGGACGTGCGTGCAGAGCTTTACCCACACATAGATTCCATTGGGGATACTGACTCAAGTAAAATTACACAGGCAGTGTGGAGGGGAAGAAATTTCTGCAACGCTGGGACTTAACTTCTTTTTTGTCTCATATTCTATTCCTTTAACCTCAAAAGCTTAACTAAGAAAGGCAGGGTGTAGCTAATGACTGAGTTTGGGGTCCATCTGTACTGTCCATAGGAGAGCCATAACCCAAAGTAAATAGGAATAGAAAAAATGAAGAGTTCTAGCTGATTCAGTCAAGGAAAATATTCTTTCTTTTGAACACCTCTGAATGAAATATATTGCTGAGTTTCCACAGAAAGTATGTAGAGTGTGTGTGTATTTTGAGACAGAGAGAGAGAGAGAGAGATGAGTTGGTTGGATTCTTAGAAAACTGCATGGCTTGCAGAGACTGGACAGAAAGAAACTATCTCTTTTCATGTGCACCCACTACAAAGTGAGCACACCCCAGGTGATGGGTAGCACTTTGTTTTTCTGCTGATCCAACTGCTACTCTCCTAGATGAGCAGCAAAATTAGAAGTTAGGATTTTTCAACAGTCACATTGTTGTCCCAAAAGTGGGGTGAACAAACCCTGCTTTTGAGACAACAACATCATCCACCACACTATACATTTAAATACTAGTAGCAGTATTCGGCTATTATCAGGAGATCAGTCCCTCACCCATTGGCACAGCAAATGTCTCATCCATTCACTCTCAGTTCAAAACAACAAATACCTATCATTAAAATGATAAAATTAATTTTTACACTGAATGGAAACAAAAATATTTGATAAAGTGGAAGAGGAATGGTGCATCCCTCTGGTGCATTCTTTAGCCCATCCTTTTAAAACAACATATTTTCTTTTTTCCAAAAAAAAACCCTTGAATTCTGATTGCAGTTAACAGCTTCCTAATTGCGTGTGACTTTCTTGACTTCCTGATCTCTGCCTGGTGATTAGGAATCTAAGGGGTTTCTTAAATCAACAGGAGCAGCTGCCTCTTGAAGCCAGGCATGGTGTATGTCACCAGCTGTGGAAAGGAACTGCAATACAGGGAGGAGCAGAGGTGATTAATGGGGCCAGTGTCGTAGCTCAGAGTGCGGTTGCACTACTGTGTACGGGCATACTTACTTCAATCATTTATCTTCTGTCCTCTGCCACACACACAGAGAAACATACATGCATGTTTTATTTTTGCTGGTGATGGAGCAGTCATTAGAAATACAGGAATGCACAAGGTACAGTGGGACCTGTAGCTGATGATGTGCCTCTAGAGGTGATGTCTTCCTTTGTCTTGTTGCTTGGACAAGCATGAGAAATGTTGACAAAACCCAGTCCTTGGTTTTAAATTTATCTCTCTGCCAT